GAAGGAGAAGAGAGGGGGGGGGGGGGGGGGGGGGGGGGGGGGTGACAGATAAAAAAAATTGGGTTACACGTAGCACAGAGATTGGGCAACGTTCATAGATGTAACTGCACAGAGGAAGTCAATTCGCTTTTCATATGTTCACCCATGCACTAAAATCCCACGTCAGCGCTAACGTGTCAATGTTTTTAATCTGCAGCTTTCGTTAACGTGGTGATCCTGCCATGAAGGTCCTTCTTCAGTCACTTCCTGCCATGAGGTGACAACTGTCTCCCAACTGACCGCCAGCATTGTCACCCGGTCACATGCTCCGCCGCGGGGAGACTAAGAGATGACGCCAACAGGCGGCTCGGGCAAACAGATTCCGCCTCTAACTTAACATTTCCCTTTCAGTTGGACGGACCCTTTAAAAAAGAAGTGGAACTCACCAAGCAGCTGCCGATGACAACCAGGCCAGGTTCAGCATGTCGGCAATCGTTGGCTAAGAAAGAAAAAGAGAATTGGTCAACAAAAAGGAGAATCCGCATACGTAGAAGAAAAGCACGGCGAGTACAGAACAATACCGATCGATCGGCCAGAAATGCGCTCAGCTCCTGAGTCCTGCTGAAGGCTGACAACAAGCAGCATATCTGGGGGACTTAGTGGTGTCAGCCCTGCCTGCTTGCCTTTTGCTAGACTACCCAAACCCTCCTCCTATCCCATTCTCTACTACGTAGACACTAAGGGGGTTATTCATCGAAGCTGACGTCACGGCCGGCTCCGCCCAGTTGTTATTGTTTAATGACAGATCAGCGTTCCCAGGTCATTTGGGGACACTGATCTGTCATTACAACTGGATTGCGCCATGCTGCCTGATTCTTATGTTCCTGGATTGCACCATGCTGCCTGATTCTTATGTTCCTGGATTGCACCATGCTGCCTGATTCTTATGTTCCTGGATTGCACCATGCTGCCTGATTCTTATGTTCCTGGATTGCACCATGCTGCCTGATTCTTATGTTCCTGGATTGCACCATGCTGCCTGATTCTTATGTTCCTGGATTGCACCATGCTGCCTGATTCTTATGTTCCTGGATTGCACCATGCTGCCTGATTCTTATGTTCCTGGATTGCACCATGCTGCCTGATTCTTATGTTCCTGGATTGCACCATGCTGCCTGATTCTTATGTTCCTGGATTGCACCATGCTGCCTGATTCTTATGTTCCTGGATTGCACCATGCTGCCTGATTCTTATGTTCCTGGATTGCACCATGCTGCCTGATTCTTATGTTCCTGGATTGCACCATGCTGCCTGATTCTTATGTTCCTGGATTGCACCATGCTGCCTGATTCTTATGTTCCTGGATTGCACCATGCTGCCTGATTCTTATGTTCCTGGATTGCACCATGCTGCCTGATTCTTATGTTCCTGGATTGCGCCATGCTGCCTCATTTTTATGTTCTTGGATTGCACCCTGCTGCCTCATTCTTATGTTCCTGGATTGCACCATGCTGCCTCATTCTTATGTTCCTGGATTGCACCATGCTGCCTCATTCTTATGTTCCTGGATTGCACCATGCTGCCTCATTCTTATGTTCCTGGATTGCACCATGCTGCCTCATTCTTATGTTCCTGGATTGCACCATGCTGCCTCATTCTTATGTTCCTGGATTGCACCATGCTGCCTCATTCTTATGTTCTTGGATTGCACCATGCTGCCTGATTCTTATGTTCCTGGATTGCACCATGCTGCCTCATTCTTATGAACTTGGATTGCACCATGCTGCCTGATTCTTATGTTCTTGGACTGCACCATGCTGCCTCATTCTTATGTTGCCTCATTTTTATGTTCTTGGATTGCACCCTGTTCTTGGACTGCACCATGCTGCCTCATTCTTATGTTCCTGGATTGCACCATGCTGCCTCATTCTTATGAACTTGGATTGCACCATGCTGCCTGATTCTTATGTTCTTGGACTGCACCATGCTGCCTCATTCTTATGTTCCTGGATTGCACCATGCTGCCTCATTCTTATGTTCTTGGATTGCACCATGCTGCCTCATTCTTATGTTCCTGGACTGCACCATGCTGCCTCATTCTTATGTTCTTGGATTGCACCATGCTGCCTCATTCTTATGTTCTTGGATTGCACCATGCTGCCTCATTCTTATGTTCTTGGATTGCACCATGCTGCCTCATTCTTATGTTCTTGGATTGCACCATGCTACCTCATTCTTATGTTCTTGGATTGCGCCATGCTGCCTCATTCTTATGTTCCTGGAATGCGCCATGCTGCCTCATTCTTATGTTCTTGGATTGCGCCATGCTGCCTCATTCTTATGTTCCTGGACTGCACCATGCTGCCTCATTCTTATGTTCTTGGATTGCACCATGCTGCCTCATTCTTATGTTCCTGGATTGCACCATGCTGCCTCATTCTTATGTTCCTGGAATGCGCCATGCTGCCTCATTCTTATGTTCTTGGATTGCGCCATGCTACGATTGCGAGACTTTCCCCCAACAAGCGACTCACTGTATTATGCACTTACCACGAAGATCCCTCGGGGGGCGGAGCCTTTGTTGCTCTCTGTTTTGGGGGCGCACAGTGACTGGTAGTCGTAGGATTCCTTCCGTGTGAAGAAGGAACTGTTGTACAGGGCGGACATGAGATTCGGATCCACCTCGCTGAAGAACTTCCCCACCTGCAGGGAAGACACAATGGTCAGGGCTGCCGTCTTTCTATTGGTCAGTGTGGATGGGTTTTGGGTCGGCACTGACGACATCGGTTTCGGGAGGATTCTGCGCAGAGCTCTCTGCAATGGCGCAATGTCAGGAAACTGAGCTCCAATCAGAGTAAGCACTGACCTGGGACCAGTGGTCCTGCTGGTTGGACATGACGAGGAATCCGCCGTCATCAATCAGGACGCACAGCAGATCCTGCGGAGAGGAAATACATGAAAACATTGAAAACAGACAGAGACATACAGCATCCCCTCTGACATCACACACATAGAGACATACAGCATCCCCTCTGACATCACACACATAGAGACATACAGCATCCCCTCTGACATCACACACATAGAGACATACAGCTTCCCCTCTGACATCACACACATAGACATATACAGCATCCCCTCTGACATCACACACATAGACATACAGCGTCCCCTCTGACATATCACAC